TTGCCTAGGAACACACCAAATGTCACATCTTTTCACCAGTGTAGATTCCTTCATACCATGCTGTCAAGAAAGGGACTAGAAGAACTTTTTGATGACCCAGAGAATTGGGAGGAAGAAAAAGTAAAATCTGGAGCTTCGTGGACAAGTCAGAAGTTACGGAACAAAAATAATGAAGATTTACGTAAACTGTGGTATGTTCTGCTGAAAGAAAGAAACATGCTCCTAACTCTAAACAAGAGGCCAAACGACAGAGATTACAAATGCCAAGTCCAGAGAGGTTAGAAAAGGTGGTCGATTCCTTAGATAAAGTTGTCCAGGAAAGAGAAGATGCGTTAAGACTTCTTCAAACTGGTCAAGAAAATGCAAGACCGGGTGATTGGAGAAGAGACCTCTTGGGAAGAATCATCTGGTACAAGTAGCCTCTACCTTGGTACCTAAATAAACGATACACTAGGAAATTATTCTTTGCAATGCCCTATGTGGAACATTTTGTCAGGTTGAGAGCTGAGAAATATGCCCGCATTCAATCAAGGAAGAAAAGTTTAATGAAAAAGAATGAAAAATTTTTTCAGGAAAAGGTTCCACATCTTTCTGAAACCCAGAAGTCAAGTCTTGCTTAAGATGCCTGAATTCTTAGCATTGTGTTTTACTCTATATACTAAAGTAAATATATGCTAAGTGTTTGTTTGTTTGTTTTTTAAAGTCCTAAACTTGGTCTACCTTATGTGGGCCAGTTGCTTCTGTCTGTTTTAAGGCAAAATATTTCTCTCTGATTCCAAACATAATATATTAGGGGAAAAAAAGAAAATTAAGTAGGAGGCCTTCAGGATGCTACTCATGAAACTCATTGTTGATGTTGTTATGTACATTTGAGTCGATTCCAACTCATAGCAACCCTGTATGGGGTTTCCAAGGAGCATCTGGTGGATTTGAACTGCTGACCTTGTGGTTCACAGTCCACTGCTGATCCTACAGCACCAAATCAGGAGCTCATAAAACTCAGTGCTGGAAAAAAACACTTAACATACACCTTAGTGGATATACTGAATGTGCTACTTCTATAGAAGAGAGTTGCTATGATTCTGAAAGCTATGTCACCAGTATTTTAAATAACCAGCAGGGTCACCCATGGTGGACAGGTTTCAGATGAGCTTCCAGACAAAGACAGACTAGGAAGAAAGAGTGACAAACTACTTCCGAATCACTAGTCACTGAAAACCTTATGACTAGCAGAGAAACACTGTCAGACATAGTGCCAGAAAATGAGCCCCTCAGGTTGGAAGGCACTCAAAATGTGACAGGGGAAGAGCTGCCTCATCAAAGTAGAGTTGACGTGATAACATGAATGGAGTAAAGCCCATGGGAGAAAAGTCCACAGGACCTTCATTTGCTGATGGGGCACGACTCAAAATGAAGAGAAACAACTGTAAACATCCATTGAAAATCAGAACATGGAATGCACAAAGTATGAACCTGGGAAATTGGAAGTTGTCAAAAATGAAATGTAATGCATAAAAATCAATATCTTAGGCATTAGTGAGCTGAAATGGACTGGTATTGGCCATTTTGAATCTGATAACCACATGGGTTACTATGCTAGGAATGACAAATTGAAGAGGAATGGTGTTGCATTCATCGTCAAAAAGAACATATTCAGATCATTCATGAGGCACAGCGTTGTTTGTAACAGGATAATATCCATGCGCCCACAGGGAAACCCAGTTAATACCACTATTATTCAAATTTATGCACCAACCACTAAAGCCAGTGAGGATGAAATAGAAGAATTCTACCAAATTCTTCAATATAAATTGATCAAACATGCACTCAAGATGTATTGATCATTACTGGTGACTGGAATGCAAAGGTTGGGAGCAAAGAGGAAAGATCAGCAGTTGTAAAATATGACCTTGGTGATAGAAATGATGCTGGAGAACGCATGATAGAATTCTGCAAAATCAATGATTTGTTCATTTCAAATACCTTCTTTACACAGCATAAGAGATGACTATACACATGGACCTCACCAGATGGAAT